GCATCGGCTTCATATTTTGTTAACTGATGTTATTTCGCCGCAGTGCGCGATGCGAAAGCCTCACAAGGTTGGCGAGCGATAAGCAGTACTTCAGCCTAAGAGGGACTCTAACCCGTGTCCGTGGTAGTTCTGCACATCAGGACTCAGGGATGGTATATGTTCATGCTCATCATTACTTCCTCTATCTACAGTTTTATCTGTGCTACAGAGATGAAATCCTCAAGCCCACGCCGATTTAGCTTAGATAGTATTTGTATCTTCTCATTTTATCATTGCTCTACTGAAAATTGAAAAAATGGTCTTCTGGAAGGAACTGTGAGAAACTCTAGGGTAAATGAAAATCACACCTGCCATCTAAAGTTGCACAGGTCTTGTGCCTGAACATGAAGACCTGAAAAAGTAAAGTTAATGTAACAGTAGAGTTTTTTTTGGCAACCTTATAGTCAACACCATGACTATAACTATCATATTAATACGATTGAAATATTGTTATGCAATTTTTACAGTACATTACGTCAAAGGGTGGAGGTGGTGTAGTGCCGAGTGGCGCATACCATCACATAATTACCCAGGAATGAAGTTTCGGACGATACCCACCTAAGCCAAGCGAGCCTTCTTTTCATTCCCCTTGGGTCGGTTATTTGGTACCAGACTTGTCTGGGACTTTTAAGTCAGGCTATAGTAGTGTCGTGGCGTGCTCACAATAAAAGGGTAAAATTCGTCCGCCATGAGTGGCGATCCACGAGTGACTGCTTTCATAGTCCACGATTCGGCCAGCGAGCGAGCGATCGGGGCGACGCTTGCTCCTTGTTTACAACCGAATCTTGGTCGATACCGCTGGACGAGTAGTCCCCTAGTCGCTCGGAGTCCCCTAGGCGGCCGAATCGTGGACTATGAAAGCAGCCAGCACAGCAGCACTGGCCCACTATTTCGAGAATGGAAATCGCGCTTCATGCCATTCTATAGGCTACATTCGCAATCAAGCGCTAATACGATCCTCGAAAAGATTGAATGCGTGGTGCTTCATTCGGAGAAGTTCAGACAATCCTAAATGACTTTAATTCTTTACATTATCTCAATTAAACTATAAAAAGAATGATCATGGTAGGATTAAAAGTGTTATACAATGAAAAAATGAAAAAAATGTTACAAAGATTTCCACTTACAAATATTAGTATTGCTACACAGAAAGATCCCAAGATGAAAGAAGATTTGGTTATCCTCGATCTTGATTCAGGTATCATTCGTTGAAATCCTGCCAGCACACTTCCTTTGCAGGACTTGTCCATTGCCGATTCAGTGGTAGAAATGACGCTGTGACGAATCTCTTTCGATGGCGGCCGGTATACACAGTTCAGAAATGTCATTAGTATTCTGCCACTACCACAGGCACGTCAAGAGCTCTAGCAATTTATTTTAGAAAGAGATTTTTTGCACGTTGCTCAGATTGGTAGCAAAAAAAANAAAAAAAATTTATTCACTGAATAAGAAAAGGGAGTGAAGAAAAGGAATTTCCAGAAGAGGTCGCTAGCATCTACGCTGAGAAGGTCCTGTGTGAGATTCATTTCTGGCTTATCTTCAAATACCCTTCAGGAACACGAAACAAAAAACGAAAACCAGAAATTGAACTCCAACAAAAAAATGTGGAATCGTGTTTTTCGTTCATTTTTGTTTATTGTAAGAGAATGTTCAAAGGATATATCGTTAAGCTCAGTTAATCATTCTCTGCTAGTGTCAACTCCAAAGAACTCCCATCCACATCCAGTATCCACAGGGAAGAAATCAAAATCAGAGAAAAAAATTTGAATTATCACAAAAAACTGAAATACGATTTGTGCTAAGGTTTTTTCGACCATTTCTTGTACAGACCATTGAACTCTGCTCGTTGAGTTGTACAACGTTACACTTGAATCTATGGAAACGCTTTGTTCTAAAATACTTTTTTTTTTCGAGAGATGCCGTATATTTTAGAAGAGTGCTTCATCTATTGTTTGTTTGAAAAAGTAGCAATGAAACGATTTGGAACTTGGGTCAAGGTTTTGAACGAATTTTGTAGTCGACGACTGGATGCTTTCATAGCCTTTAAAAACGAATTCGTCGCATGTAAAAAATTTACGTCTGTTGCATTTCATTTTACGGTCAGAACCCGACCGTAAAGAATCTGACCGTGGGATGAAATGCAACAGACGTAGATTTCCCATACGACCTAATTCGTTTGACGTCAGCCGGCGGACTATGAAAGCAACCATAGATCTCCGGGCGGGGGCGGCGCTTTCCCCTAATTTACAACTGTATCTTGACCGATACCGCGGGCCGATTAGTTTCCCGGCCGGCGCGCGCGCTCCAACTATAAAAGCGTCCACTTATCAGCTGCTGAAATTCCCTCTCTTCTTTAAATTGCCGTCCTCACCTCGCCGATTGCATCATCATCTGTGTCGCGCCTCATATATTGCTATTCTGTGATTCCACATCTGTTGATAAACTACTCTGCGTAAGGAACATCATGCAGTGTGGCTCGCTGTGGCTGTGACCTGGTGAGTTATGTTTAGTGTTTAATACAATTTAAAACTTGAAAGTTAGCGTTTGAGTCACCTAGAACGGGAGGAAATTACAGAAACACAGAAAGGTGAGTTCCTGTTTCGGATCCCTTATGTTCGTATTGTGTGTGCTATAACACATTGCCATTGTGTAAATATTGCTGTGTCTTGAGCTCCTGCTCAAAATCCATCAGTCTAGCCGAAAGGACGTTGTACTGTACTAGGGATATCAGACAATCTCTTTATACATAAAGCGCTAGTTTTGCGTGTTTGTTTGTGTTGTGGATTCACAACCATATATGTATATGTTTATAATAGAACTAGCCTTACAAGAATGATGGATAACATGCTAGTTCAACATATTAACCATAGGCGTAACTTGACATGAGTATCTCTTGAGTTGAGACCGCAGGCATGACCTGGCGGTATCGTAAGTGCGCAATCAAGTAGGTAACTTAAGTTCTGCCGTTGGCGCGGTCCGCTCTTTCACCCCTCGAGCTTGAGTACCGCCATGGGCCCCCTAAGGTCCAGTGGCGATACGGTATCTGAGGACCGCCCACATATTGTGTGTATAAACCCCGTGAAT